GACATGCATATGTTCTGGGCTAAGGCCCCCAGCAAGCCTCATGCCCGCCCTAAGTGAAGGCGGGCCAGAATATCCACGAGAGGCCTTTCTTTCAGCATTTCGTGAAGTGGGTACCAGACAGTTGCAGCACGCCAGTTGGTTGGAGTGCATCGTGAAGCCCAGACTCCTGCAGAAGCAGTTGAGCCCAGGGCCTCAGTTGGTTGAGCCCTGGGCACAAGCCAGGGGAGGCCGACACATCACACGTTGGACGCTGGCCAATCGAAAAACAAGGTTGTCGTAGAGGCCGAGCGTGCCAATGGGAGACCGGCCCGCTATCTGAATCTGGACATCGGCCCTGGGCTGATGGGCGCAACTGTGAAGTCTGGGCCCCATCTGCATTGGGCCTAGGCACAGATACCGGGGCCCAGTCGCAGGCTAGAGGGAGCCGCACACGCGCCTACCACGGCATGTAGGCAGTCAGGGCGCAGGGAAGAGGATCTTGGCCGGTGCGGCATTGTCGGTACGCTGCTGCATTGTGTAGCGAGCGCGTGCATGCTGCGCTAGGTGGTCAAGCGCGCAAGCGGGCGCAGAGGTGTGGGGCGCTGCAGGGCAGCGAGCGCCGGCAGCCATAGCCGGGCTGCTGGGCGCAGTGAGAGGTAGGGAGGCGAAGGTGGTCTTCGGGAAGGAGGCACGAGAGTGGGGAGACGGGATAAGAGTGGGGAGCAACAGAGGTACTTACCTGGCATGGAGAGAGGAGGTCGGCATTGGTGTTGACGTCAAGCACGCTGGTCTTCAAGTCGTCTGGTTGTGATCATGCTGTAGTTGTAGCTGTAGGGAGTAGTGTAGGTAGGGTGCCAGCGCCGTTCAGAGAAAGAGCTACATTGGGTTCTGTTGTTGGTGTGGCCCTACGGGCTGGGACATTGACCTCACGATTCTACCGTATGGTTCTCATATGAATGGTTTCTTGGTTCCAATGTGCCATCTGCTCTTTGTTTGACTACTTGGACTTCAGCGTGATTTTGCAATTTGGATTTCTGTACTGCTCACATTCATGTTCCTTGCAAAATTCTTTACCAAATTAAAAATAGAAATTAAAATTATTTTATTTTAAAAATTTTTAATTTTAAAATTTTGATTAATTTAATTTTTTGGCCTGGCTGGGCAAGTAATCCCGGGCCACTGGGGTAGCCTAGGCTTTTTTAGTCACATGACAGCTCTACCCTCCTTTGTTTGATAACTAATTGTTCTGGTAGATTAAATATAGATAAGATAAGGCGACCGAACGGCACACCCTTCAGTCTCTGAGCTTGTTAACTATGGAGTCTGGAGTCTGGACTGATTTCTTGTTGGTTTGGTCTTGCTGACAGGGTTGGCATTCTTTCTTTGAGGAGCCAGTGATGCTGCTGGCTTTTGTTCTGCTTGGGAGAGGTTTGGAAGATAGGGCAAAACTGCAGGCATCCAGTGACATGACAGCTCTTCTTGATCTCTTGCCATCAACAGCCCGAATGCTTAAAGAAATGCAAGACACGTGGACGGGTGCAGAAGCGTGGGACACGGTTAATGTATCAACAGCAAGCCTGGCTGTGGGAGATGCAGTTGTGGTGCTTCCTGGGGTGAGATCACCGTTCTCTCTTTTTTCGTCCTCCTTTCTTTGAGCTTACCCTTCTTGAAATCAAACCCAGCAATGCATCGGTCAAGGGAGTTAAAAAGCAGTCAAAAGCACTGAAAGATAAAAGGACAGAAATCTCAGCCTTACACCAGAGCAAGAAAATGATTTGAGAAAGGTAGACAGATGGAAAGAACCCATAACCAACAAGCCTAGCTCAGTTGGTGCACGCATGAACTGTTGAATTAACGACCCAAGTTCGAATCCTGATGGACGTTGATGAAGGCAAAGAAATGAAATTCTGAATTACCTAGGGCAGGTCAACTCGATGATGATATCCGAAAACCGTCGCCCTTTCTCTTTTTTTTTTTTTTTTTTTTTTTTTTTGTATATATGCCATTTTGTGTCCGAGAAGGTACATGTGATCTGGCAGGGTATTGCAATCCAAAAATGGACGTGATTCTTTTCTTTTTTTTTTTTTTTTTTTTTTTTTTTGTTTAACACAGGCTCCAATCTATTCGTGGGGAGAAGCACGTGCTGAGAACGGGGCTCAGCGTCCCTTATGAGATACATATATACTATATAGAAGTTTGGGGGAAAAACTGAGCATGAAAAAAACCAGAGAAAACCAACCGTGCTGGAAACTGGGTCCAGCGTCCCATGCCTTGGACTCAGAAAACCAACTGTGCTGGAAACCGGTTCCAGCGTCCTATGCCTTGAACTATCTGAACCAAAGAACCTTTTCATCCATCATGTCGAAAGCCAGATCCTACTCAGAAAGGTAGCAGCCCCTGTCCACCTTTCCAACCGTTGGCTTGGCCCGGATACGGGTCGGAGCCACTGGGGGGCACCAGTGGGGCCATCACTCGTCATCATGAAGTAACTTTGACACTCCCGAAATTGCCCTAAAATGCCCCAACACATTTCAACAGGGCGTGCTACGAGCCTAATCAGGTTGCTAAGTTGGTTCAACCAAGGACGTTAAACCACCAGTACACGGCTCCAGCCTTGCAGAATGTTTTTGTCGCCACAAGCAAAACTTGGAGGCGCCACGTGGCCCTCCGCGCCGTTGAAAAAAAAATTCTGCGGCCTCCAAAGTGGTGCGGGTTTCATGCTGACACCCGCGGGCCAATGTCTGGTGTACTGATGCTTTAAGCCATGCTCTCCCAATGTCCATCTGTTCCGCCCGGCGTTTGCAAGCTCAATTGCTGACTTTATCCCCTTATATGCTCTCCTTTTTTTTTTTTTTTTCTTTTTTTTTTTGCCAAACCTGCTGGAAACCGGGTCCAGCGTCCCTTTGTACAGTTTGAAGCATGGTGGCCTCTACCTGGCTTTGGCTTACAGAAACCATTATGGCCCCCTTGAGCCTGCTTGTCTCCGTTTGTCTAGCGGAGTCAACTTTGAACTTGGCGACTGCAGTTTATCCCAAACCTCTCTCCTGAACTCGGTGGCCCTAAACAGCGGTCCCTAGTGGACCGCCCATCCGGCCCTACTGGACTTGCGTTCCTCTTCCTGCTTGTTTCCACCATCGGCCCGTGTGCTACAAGAGTGGCCCGATATGTCTTCCGTGCGCCACAAAAATGCCCCCGTATGTCTTCCTGCACCACCCTGAGGATCGAGGCACTATCCTGCCCATGCCCGCCAGGACTGAACTATCCTGTCCATTTCCCAAGTCGTAAGACTGTGGTGATTCCCAGACGGAGGTCACATAGCACCAGGAGCCTCTCGGTTCTCTGGGGGACCCCAAAGATTGTTTGGCTCGGGTTTGTGCACCCGTGTTAACGTACACTATGCTCCAGTCTCCGTTTGTACGTAGTCCAGCTCCATGAGCATACATTTCGTAGATCTCAGGAGCATACATTTCAGCCTTCCCTTGCTTCTGGCAGTGCCTGCGGTCGTTAACATTCCTACCCTCCCGCCCTACTCAGCAGTTTCAGCTCCCGCTCTGTTTCTCCGTTTCCTCCGAGTCTGTTATGCTTCGCCCGCTTGTCCACATCCAAACAGGGCCTGCTACCGCAGTCCTGATGCATCAGCTGGCTGCTGTGGCCGCATGCTCTGTCGTGGACAGTTGAATGATGGTGTTATCCTTCCGTTGTCCTCGTGGCACCAGTAGGAGTTGTCTTCACAGAGAGGCCAGAGGCAGAGTCATGGGGGAGGGGGGGGGTGAGGGGGTTGCGGGGGACTGTGGCTGCGGGGGTCGTGGGGGGCCCTTGGACCATGCAAAGAGGAGGTGCCTCCCCCTTACAGCTGTGATTCTACCATTACCGAGCGTTTGGTGGGCAAACTTCCGCAGGAGGAAGAGGGGATAAAAAAATGCCGCAAATATTTGACGAAAAATTGAAAAAAATATGTAGTAAAATAGGCTAAAACAAAACGAGAACCGTGGGTTAATCGTGCAGATACCACAAAATACGCCAACGTTCTTCCCTCAATACCCTCTAAAACCAGCCACCGGACCTGGGCGACCTGTTGGATGTCAAGTTTACGGCTGGTTCTGGCATCATAGGAGTTCGGAGACCCTGTTCAACTTTGTAAAATTTTTCCTCTTTGTCAAAGTGGAAGCTCCGTCTGTCTATCTGCCTGTCTGTCTCTCTCTCTCTCTCTCTCTCTCTCTCTCTCTCTCTCTCTCTCTCTCTCTCTCT